AAATATAGACAGATACTGAACAGCTGAAACGTTGTAATAAAAAGATGAGGACAATAAATAATGTAAATAGTGTACATAATACCTCATCTCAAAATATTGACAGATACTGAAAACGTTGTAAATATGAATAAAGATGAAAATAGTCCGTACATAAAATACCTCATCTCTCAGAAATATAGACAGATACTGAAAGGCTTGAAAAATATGGCGACAAAGATGAGGACAATAGTCTGAATAATGTAAATAGTAATAAATATCATCTCAGAAATATAGACAGATATGAACAGCTGAAATTGTCTGAATAATGTAAATAGTGTACATAATACCTCATCTCAGAAATATAGACAGATACTGAACAGCTGAAACGTTGTAATAAATATGGCGACAAAGATGAGGACAATAGTCCGAATAATGTAAATAGTGTACATAATACCTCATCTCAGAAATATAGACAGATACTGAACAGCTGAAACGTTGTAATAAATATGGCGACAAAGATGAGGACAATAGTCTGAATAATGTAAATAGTGTACATAATACCTCATCTCAGAAATATAGATACTGAAAGGCCGAAACGTTGTGACATGAGGACAATAGTCCAAATAATGTAAATAGTGTACATAATACCTCATCTCAGAAATATAGACAGATACTGAACAGCTGAAACGTTGTAAATAAATATGGCGACAAAGATGAGGACAATAGTCTGAATAATGTAAATAGTGTACATAATACCTCATCTCAGAAATATAGACAGATACTGAAAGGCCGAAACGTTGTAATAAATATGGCGACAAAGATGAGGACAATAGTCTGAATAATGTAAATAGTGTACATAATACCTCATCTCAGAAATATAGACAGATACTGAAAGGCTGAAACGTTGTAATAAATATGGCGACAAAGATGAGGACAATAGTCCGAATAATGTAAATAGTGTACATAATACCTCATCTCAGAAATATAGACAGATACTGAAAGGCCGAAACGTTGTGATAAATATGGCAACAAAGATGAGGACAATAGTCCAAATAATGTAAATAGTGTACATAATACCTCATCTCAGAAATATAGACAGATACTGAACAGCTGAAACGTTGCAATAAATATGGCAACAAAGATGAGGACAATAGTCCGAATAATGTAAATAGTGTACATAATACCTCATCTCAGAAATATAGACAGATACAGAATATAATACTTCTTCAAATAATCCTAAACATATTAATCTTTTATATTCGAAATCAAATATATTCTAATTATGAACAGGATGTAAATATCCTAAAAAACTAATAACTACTAATATATCCACCACAGATTCTACTAAAAAAATAAAATTAATTATATACTATACTAAATTCAGTATATTCTATTTAATCATTCATAATGACTCCTTCCCACCAATTAATGTGTTGCAGAAAACCAACATTATATATAAATTTAAATGTCCTTGGGAATATTGTATCTCCAACAGAAAAAACAAAAAATAATTTTTATGTTGGTCACACGACAACTTTGTTTTCACAAAGCTTCATATCTGTTCATTTCATGAAAGAACCATATTACAACCAGTTTCAACGAAATTAAAAAAAATCTGATAAGGATTTTCACTTTCACAAAAGACAAAGAAAATAGCATTTACCATTCATCATAGATCATAAACCTATGCATCAAGAGTATCACCGTCAAGCTCCTTTCCCAGGAATTAAACTTTGCATCACATTATCAAGCTGCCATGTCTTTGAACTGTGTCTATCATCATCTGTGCTTCCTCTCAATTTATTTTGCATGTCTATTATCAAAATGTGTCTTAAAGTATTAGGACTGCATGGAGTGAAGCAATCAGGCATACAGTTGGATTTCAAGCGTTCCACCTCAACTGCAGCAGACAATGAACTGTGCCCCTTTATACTGAAGCAAGCAGAGAAGAAAGTTATTTGGGGGATGGGCCCGGATACGCTAAAAATTTTTCCTACTATAAAGTAATAATCTCTTCATAGCTTTCTGCCATTTTGGTTTTTGAAACGCTTTATTGGAACATGCTATATATAGAGGGCAGGGTTGACTGACACCAAAAAATAATGAAAGCAGATGTAAGAAGAATAAAAGAAATCAAAATTTACATTTTAGGTTTTAACAGATATATTTTGATGAAAAGATCTTGGCATCTTGCTAAGTGTCTCTGAAGTTTACTCAGTCCTTTACTGATTGCAAAATAGATATATACCTGAGTAAAGTGGGCTCAAAGGTTGAAGACTTGTGATAACAACAAGGAAGAGAACAAAAGCCTGAATATAAATAGTGTAAATAATGATAACTCATTATCAGAGAATTCAGGCAGAAAGTATATCTGAAATTTAATCCGATATCTACTGCTTGTTCAATCAGTCAACTATTGTACAGATTTAGGAAAATCTCTGAAACTCACCAAAAAATAAAAAAGTTCTGCGTGCTAAAGCAGCAAATATCCTGCAAAACAAGATGGCCACTGCCAAGCAACTACTATAGGGACAACACCCTGTATCACAATATGAAGGTGGGATAATTTTTGAACTGTGTCTATCAGCCTCTGTGCTTCTTCTCAATTTATTTTAAACATTCATTAACAAAATGTATCTTAAAATACCTGAACTGTATGATAGAAAAATCTATGAAGTGAAGCAATCAGGTATAATCTTTGTTTTATACAATGATGTTCACCCTGTACAAAGCCCAAGAGCCACTCAAAGTAGAGTATTAGAGAGTACAGTTTATAGGGGTATATAGTAAAGATAATGGTTAGCATTAGACTTGAACAGGTTAAGATCATAGGGATCAGGGAAGCATCCACTTGGGAGTAGGTTCCACAAAGCAGCAGTTTGTGGGAAGAAGCTGTTCAAGAGGAACTTATATCTCACCAATGGAAAATGAAGAAAATTAAGGTGGTTTGCTACAATGTGCATGACATGGTGGGTCTTAGCTAGAAAGGTTAGAACTGGTGGAACTAAGGAATGTAGTTCATCCGAACACTTTCCATGGAAATAACAATAGAGCAATGAGAAGCTTGCAATGTTTCATCTATGGAAATGTGATTGTAGAAAATAATTCATCACCCACAAGGATGCAGAGATGCTTTTGGACTCTATCAAGACTGGAAAGTGAAGAGTGGGCAGCTCTTTCCCATATATGGTAGCAGTATCCCATTTTTGGTCTGATCTGACTCTTGTAAAGATAGAGGATAGGAAACTGACCATTCCAGTTGGTTAAGAAAAAAAAAAAACAAAACATGGATGTCAGCTTGGGACATGTGTACCCACTAAAAATAAAATTTATAATAATAAGAAATAGATTAAAAAAATCCATTAAAAAATTACTTATATATATATATATATATATATATATATATATATATATATATATAGGAGGCACGTTGGAGTAATGGATAGCGGCTTGGATTGAGAAATCGGAGAGCCAAATTCGATGAATTCCAGTCGAATCCATTACATTCACTTACATGCTAATACCCTTGGGAAAGGTGTGAATCCTCTTCTTCTCCCTCCAGCTGTGGGTAAATAGCAGGACGGACTGGGTTCTATAGCCTTGGATGGCAACTGGTCTAGGAGAAGGACAACTCTAAATTCAAAACCTGCTGAGTGTCGTTTGGGGGACCTTGTGGCATGTAGTGCACCAGGTCTCTGTAACCGGCCCTTCAAAAAGTGTGGATGGTCCTGCACGAAACCTTCATCACTATAATCAAATCTCACGTGCTGTTGTCGGGCTGTCGGTTTCCTAGGAACTGATCTGCTTGATCCTTATATGTCGAATTTGACATGAGAGTCGAGTATATATGATAATTATATAGAAATAATTTGTCATCCACAAGGATGCAGAGATGTTCTTGGCCTCTTTTGAGACTGGAAAGTGAAGACTTACTCAAATATTACAGCAGTACCCCACTTTAGGCCGGATCTGTCTCTCATAAAGATAAAGGAAAGCATGAGGAATCAGGTACTTAGTGGAGAAGTACAGAGAACCAACCAGTATTCTTAGCAATGTATCATATGTATGAGTTTAACTTGAGGTCTGAGAAGAGGTTAAGACCTAATAGGTACTCAAGTCATGAGGCCTATCTGTGAGTTTGAGAGAACATCAGTTTATCCCAATAGGTGAGTATTCAGGGTCTGCTCAGTGATGATAGAATGCATTTCAAGCCTTCCACATCATCTACAGCAGATAATGAATCTTAACCTTCAATATTGAGGCAAGCAAAGAAGAAAGTTTGGTGGGGTCTGGAAATATAAAATTATCCCCTCCACAAACACACTATAAATAATACAATTACTTCTTAGTTTTCTGCCATTTTGGTTATTAAGATATTTGAGTGAAATGTTCTACATTCAGACAGCAGACTTGAGGTAAGAAGCAAGCAGTCATCAAAATTTACATTGTAGATTTAGCATTTGAACAGATATAATAGGTTGATGAAAGCATTCTTAGCATACTTTTAGGGAAATCTTAGAAGTGTCAAAGTTTAATCAACTCCTGAAGGGACACAGTGTATCAACAAAAGAAGCACTCATACATATGTAAGTACATCAATAAGCCTGTAACCTAAATATAAAAAAGGCATAGGGCTGACACAAGAAATATTTCTATTTCAACATTAACTTCTTCCTTGTCAAGGCACCTAATTCTACAGTAAATATTAACCACATAAACCAAATATTTTAGCATGAACATTTTATGGTAATATTCAGCTAATGATTACTTGTCAGGCTATAGGCATTTTGATCTGCTTTTGGATATAAAACACATATAAACCCCAAGCTTCAAAAGTGGCATTGTCAAGTTCCTTCTTCAGTAATTACACTCAGCATTTTGAAATAATTCCCATTCAAAAACCAAACTTTAACAGTTATTTGGGTGGCAGCTTTTTCATGCAAACCACTGCTCTGTGGAACTGACTCCCAAGAGGATGTTTCCCCTATCACTACAATCTTAACCTGTTCAAGGAAAATGTCTTGCAGCCATATCATGTTGAAAGATCAGTTCTCAACGGATCACCAAAGTTAAGCAATATCGAGTCTAGTCCGTACCTAGATGGGTAACTGCTTAGGAATACCAGGTGCTGTAAGCTTGGATGTCTGGGTGATATAATGGATAAAGACTTGAAATTGGAAATTGAAGAACCATGTTCAATTCTTAGTTGGATTTGTTATATTCACTTACATGCAAATATTGGCAAAGGTGTGAATCTACCTTTTCTCCACCCCAGCTATGGGTTAAACAGTCGGACCTGTATTAGTAAAATGCCATTTCTTCCCAAAAAATCTTACAATCAAGAAATATTTCCTGGATTAAAATAACCTGCAAAATGGCTGATAAGCTTTCAAAAAACAAATCGATCAATCACAGAGGAAGAGATAACAAGAGGCAGCAGAAATATGGTTCTACAGAAGGATGCTGAGAATACTATAGAGGGATTGGGTAATCAACAAAACTTAATGAAAATGGATACAAAAAGCACATTTATACCCAGAATTTGAAAGAGATAGCTGAAATTTTTTCAATATCATTAGGAAGTTGGGCTTGGAGAATTTGATACTCACAGGACATATTGAAGGCAAAAGAAACAGGGGAAAGCAGTGGGCCATCTATCTGATCAACTTGTGTGAATGAATGACAAAATGGGGTATGAGGTGTCTTGGAAAAGGGACAAATATTGCTGAAGCCTAATTTAAACAGACTACTAGATTGGCAATTAGGTCTCATCATTTTATTGCTGAATGTAACTGTCAGCTCTATACCAATAGTTTCTTCTCTTGGAACCTTTTCTGGTTTCTTGCTTTCCAGTCATCTATGATCTTCAAAAATCTAAATGACATGTCAATTATTGAATCTTGGTCTTTTAATATCCTTTCTCCTCAATGTTTGCTCAGTTTCTTTCACTATCAGTAAACCCTTGTGTTTTAGCGGCTTTATCATCTTGAGTGGGATGAAATGATTAAAAAAAATGAAACATGCAAATATTGTTTACTTCACTTTACTCCAAAGCTGTGATCTAAATGCTAAGGTTGTTATCACTTTCAGAGTAGCTTTATTCAAATGACTGAGCAATATAATTACAAAAACTATCAATAAAATGATCACTTATTTATAAAGCTCAGAAAAGACTAAACTGGAAATGAATAACAGAAGAGGTATTTTTTAACATTTGTTGTTAAACATGAATATGCAAATTAGTTATCTCCATTAAGCAAAAACAGCAAGATATAAAGCACTGCAGCCACAATATTAACAACATAAAATATATATATATCTTATGTTGTTAATAAATATATATATATTTTTGATCATTTCGCCCCAAGCAAGGTGGAAATGCTACTAGTTTGCAGGGGGTTACAGAGAGTGAAAGTGAGAGAAAAAACTGAGTATAGGGGGGATTAAGGAAAGGATAGAAGACGAATGGGATTCAATAAGATACAAGATGGCGATTGATGTTGCATTTAAATTTTTGAAGATTTTAGTTATCAGGGAAAACAGTAAACGGGAGGGAGTTCTACAGACAGGAAGTGCGAGAAAAGAAAATATTGGAGTAGAAATGGTGGTTACATTTAACTATTTCAACAGTAAAAGAGTGGGACCTCAATGCCAATCTAGTAGCACACTTAAATTCACGTAGTTAGGGCACCAAGGAAAAAAGCTTGTCAGAGCAGTTGCCATAAAATTATTTGTAGGAAAGACAGAGGGAAGCCATGTCATGTTGGTGAGAAAGTGATTAAAGTCAAGACACCATATCAGGATTTATTACATTGCAGATCCTTCTGTGGATTTTGTCAAGTACCTCAAGACGAATATCAGGAGTACCAGACCAGATATGGCAAAAGTATTCAATGCACAGATGAATGATAGATTATTCAAATGACACAATGTTGATAGCAGACACAGAAAGGAAACTAAAAGAACTCTGACAGAAAGTAGTGAAGAAAAGCAAGAAGAAAGGACTAAGCATCAATTGCAAGAAGACAGAATGCATAGTTATTAGCAAAAGAGACAGCACAACATGCAAATTACAAATTGGGGATACCAAAATCAAACAGATGCAATAATTTAAATATCTGGGAAGTGTATTAACAGAGGAAAGAAAATGTAATACGGAAATATGAAAGTGCATTGGGATATTGAAAGATGCCTTCCCAAAGCTAAGCAAAGTATTAAGAAACAAAGAAACGTTTACTAAAGCATCAGTCCTCCTATATGGCAGTGAATGCTGGACAATCTCCTCACAGATGAAGAAGAGACTTGAAGCAGCAGAAATGTGCTTCTACAGAAATATGCTGAGAATACCATAGACACAACATGCAAGCAATGATGAAGTTCAAGAGACAAGGGTAACAAAAAGTACACTTATGCTTACCATCAGAAAGAGATAGTTGAAATTTATGGGGCACATAATAAGAAAAGAGGGCTTGGCAAATCTGTTATTCACAAGGCAGACTGAAGGTAAGAAGGCCAGAGGAAAGCAATGCATAATGCTTGAGTGAATGGATGGCAGAGAAGGGTTTGGGTGAAATTACAAAAAGACAAATGTCATTAAGAGCTACAAAGAACAAGAAATTGTAGATAGCTATGATTGCCAATGTCCACATGGTATATAAAAGAAAATCCCTAGAATACCAGAGAGTATTTTTTCGTCTGAGTCCATCTTTCAAATCTCTAAATCAACCATCCGTCCTTGCATGGAATATTGGTGCCATAAATGGTCTGGTGCCCTTGCTGTACATCTCTAGGTCCTCGACAAAATCCAGAGACGAATATGCAATGTGAAAAGACCTGATCTGGCATCTAGTCTAGAGTCACTTTCTCACAGACGTGCCATGGCTTACCTCTGTCTCTTCTACAAGTATTTTCACAACAACTGTTCCGACAAGCTACTTTCACTGGTTCCCTACTGCAAGAATTTAAGCGAGCTATTAGGCTGGCATCTCTGACCTACCCTTTCACTGTTGAAATGGTTAAATGTAACCACCTCTTCTACTCAAACAGTTTCTTCTCTCACACTTCCTATCTGTGGAACTCCCTTCCCCTTGCTTGCTTCTCTGATAGCAATAATCTTCAAATATCTAAGTGTAATGTCAGTTGACATCTGATACCTTGATCTTGTTTTCTGTCCTTCTCTGTATCCTTTCCTCAAACATGACTCTTTACTCTTGTTCTCAATCCTCTGTAACCCCCTTGTGTGCTAATAGCACTCCCACCTTGCTTGGCGTGAATTGCTTTAAAAAAACAATGTGCCCAATCAGGCTGAAGTGCTTAAACTGGATATTATGGGGTCAAACTCCAAGAGGCTGTCTTCACAGTTAATACTTCTACTTCAGGAGGAGTGAGTGTCATTACCTGATGTCTGAGGCATCTCCAAAAAGGAAAGTGCTAAGGGGGCTTCAGCAACTTTTTATCTCTACTGCACAAGCTCCCAACCTAATTGAAACACGACTTTGTTTGACATGCCACTTGCGTGGGTATTTGGTATGAGGGAGTGCTGAAAACTTATCAGCACCACTCACTCCGCAAAATCTGACCAAATGACCAGTTATTAGAATTCTTTTCTGAAAGAACTTCTTGGTAAAGCCAAGTATTTTTCAGCACCCATTTGTAGATATAAATGATAAAACCATGTTTATTTAATATCACAGTTTTATGCAATTTTCAAGCACGTACATATGGACACAAAATTAAATTTATATATTTAATTAAATTTATATATTTAATTAAATTTTCAGTGTTTGGAGTGCGCGCACACACACACACACACACACTTGGACTTTATATATAAGATGTACACACAAGTTAAGGCTCCAATGTCCCATCGGCCACTTCTCAAGATCACAGCATGATTAAATGAAGAACTTTATTTTCTCTTATTTATTTTTGTCTTTGAAAAGGTCATTTCAATTCAAAAGTTCCCCAAATTTATTGACAAGATCTGACAAAATAATTTAGAATTTTATTTTTACTTTCAATCATGAAGTTAAACCCTGCTGGTGTCAACATACCACAGCAGGTAATTTTCTTGGCTTCAGAAAAAACCAACAATCAATATATATATATATATATATATATATATATATATATATATATATATATATATATATATATGCTGCCTGTATTCTCATAAATCATTCATTCTAAATTTCTTTGAAAAAACATAATAATTATCAATATTTATAGAAAATGCTGACATTTTGTGGTTCTCATCCTATTCAATAAGATTACACTATTTTCTATTACACTATTCTTTTATATATTATATTATCCTATTATATATATATATATATATATATATATATATATATATATATATATATATATATATATATACATGTAAGTATAATAGCCTCATACACATGTACAAAAAGACAAAGAATAATGGAAGCACTAATAATAAAACAGAAAAGCCAACACTCAATAGCATCAACTATGAACATGGCCAAAATGTGCTGACCATGTTTGGAAAAAAATAACAAAAAAAAAACATTCTGATAAGTCTAGATATATGCATAAAAAAATTTATACATTCAGTTAAAAATAAAAATCATCCTTGATAATGCCTAAAAGAATAGTCAAAAGCGCTCAGATATGCAGAACATTTGGACAATTTTTACACACTTTCTGTCCAGAAAAGAAAACACTGATATAAACACAAGAAAAATTAAATAAAAAGCTTACTCACAGTAACTTGTCAGTCATCTTTAATGAAACATGTACAAAAGTGGGATTGCTGCCCAAATACATATTCTTGAAGCCATCACAATTAAAAACCAAAAACTCAACATAAATAAAATAGGATTTAATCTAATCCTCCAAATAATAATTACCAACCTCCTCCCAACTGCTAATGAACTAATCCTATAACATTGCCTAAATACACAAAAATAATATCTATAAAAAAATAATAAATTTGAAGCCTAATTTAAACCAAAACATACAGCCATGATGATGGTTGACAACAACCAAAAGTGCTCGGCAAAAAAACAAGAACTGGGGTCTTTTTTTCAATATCTTAGACCTAATGTTATGGTCCGATTCCTTGTACCACGGTGATAGTCCAAGGTAGAACCAATAAAGAAGAATGCGA